GGTTATTTTTAAGAGGCCAGCCATGAGGTTAACTAAACACTTGAGGCCATTGTACGTTAAGGCTTTAGTTAACGGTATACCTGTGGCGAAAGTACTCATCGATAATGGAGCAGCTATAAATACCATTCCATCTAGGATGATGAGGAAATTTGCAAAGACAGAAAGTGATATGATTCCAACAGAAGTCATCCTTACAAGTTTCAATGGAGGAGCAACTTCAGCTAAAGAGGTTATGCCATTGGACATAACTGTAGGGACAACTACTAGGACCACAGTCTTCTTCGTAATAGATGGTCCTACTAGTTACAATTTGTTATTAGGAAGGGATTGGATACACGAAAGTCGCTGCATACCTTCATCGCTCTATCAATACCTGGTTTTCTAGAATGACAAGGGTGAAGCAGAAGTGGTACAGGCAGATCATAGACATTTTGTCGTAGAAGCAAACTCAGTGGAAAGGTTCATGTACGAAAGAAATTACGGACCTGCCAGAGTAGTCCAAGATGGAGAAGAAACTCAAATTGTTGCACAGAGTGAAGAGCCATATTCAGTAGATGCACTCACTGAAATGTTCAGTCAAATAAGGCCAAACATAGTGGCCCTAGAAGAGCCAGTAATTGGCAAAAAAATAATCAAAGAGTTTTAAATGAGTTGTAAGCAACAAAGGCAAATGGTCGATGTTCAGGCCTTCAAAGTCAAATTAATGGCTTTTAATAAAGAATGTAAAGATAAGACGAAAGAAAAAGCAGCCTTGAAAGCATTAGAAGACAAATTGGCAGTGTTCGAGTTGGAACAAAGTATTGGCTGAGAAGTCAACAAGGTGGATTGTTTAGAAGAAGAAGTGCCTATAAGGGAAATGGATGATGAAGTAATGAGGATCACCAAGCCTGGATACACTCAAGTACAAGACCCTCTAATCAAAGTGAATATTGGCAATGAAAGGGAAGATCGCTCAACATTCGTCAGCCAGATGCTCGATCAAGAGGTTGTGATAAATTAGTCATTTTATTAAAGGAATATAAGGATTGTTTTGCTTGGGAATATGAACATATGCCTGGTTTAGATAGAGATTTGGTGGAACATAGATTGCCAACCAAGCCAAATTTTAAACCTCATAAGCAACCTCCTAGGCGTTTTGCTCCTAATGTACTTCCTGAGATTAAGAAAGAAATAGAGCGATTATTAAAAGCAGGCTTTATTAGAACATCCAGATATGTCGAGTGGTTGTCCAATATCGTGCCAGTACTAAAAAAGAACGGTAAATTAAGGGTGTGCATAGATTTTAGGAACCTAAACATAGCCACACCCAAAGATGAATATCCAATGCTCACGGTAGATTCTTTAGTTGACTCGACTGCTGGACACGTAATATATTCCTTCATAGATGGGTATTCAGGATACAATCAAATTTATATAGCCGAGGAAGATATACACAAAACTACCTTTAGATGCCCTGGATTTCTAGGATGTTTTGAATGGGTAGTTATGCCTTTCAGCCTGAAAAATGCAAGAGCGACTTATCAAAGGGCAATGAACTTGATTTTTCATGATATGTTAGGCAAGTTTGTTGAGGTGTATATAGATGATATAGTGGTCAAATCCATTAAAGAAGAGGACCATTTTGAACAATTGTGATGTTCATTTGAGTGAATGAAGCAATATAAACTAAAATTGAATCGCTTGAAATGTGCATTTGGTGTTAATGCAGGAAGTTTCTTTGGTTTCTTAGTACACAAAAGGGGAATTGAACTTGATAAAAATAAAGCGAAGGCCATTTTAGAGGCCAAATCACCTAGCAATAAAAAAGAATTGCAAAGGTTTCTAGGCCAAGTAAACTTTTTAAGACGCTTTATTTCTAACTGTGCAGGGCGAACTAAAGATTTTTCGCCGCTTTTAAAGCTGAAAAATCAGGACGAATTCGTCTGAAAAGAAGAGCAACAAAAGGCTTTTGAAAGCCTAAAGACATATTTATCAAGTCTACCAGTGTTGGTGTCACCAATCCAAGGATGGCCAATGAAAGTGTATATATCAGCTGAACAAGAATCAATAGCTGGAATGGTCGCACAAGAAGACCAATTTGGTGAAGTGTTCGTCGAATTCCCGCAAGCGTACGGGTTCGTTGACAAGTAATAATCGTGATGAGAGAGTTATCGTCTCATGAGGAATAATGATTAATTTTAGTATATTTGATATAATTGAATTCGTGTTTGCAACTAAAGGACGATCGAAGGAATAGCTACAGAATTTTTCTATATCTAAAACTTGTGAAAATAATTAAAATTGGTTTAAAAAAAAAAAATTCAAACGTGTGAACGTATTGGATCACCGACGCCACTGATCAATTCTTAGTTCTAATTCTCAACCAGTGATAATTATCTCAAATTATGCAATTATGACGGTCGATAATTCCACCATTATTTATTATTCTTTTTCAAGATATAATAAACCTATGTTTACCACGAGACGATCTTATTCCTAGTCCGAATTCATATGGTGAACATGCATTGACATCTAGGATTATCACATATGATCGCACATGCCACAAACATTATTCCTAATATTTATTGCCCGTGTGTTCCATCAACAGTGTTCTACCTACCGTGAGTTTTCCAACACAACGAATAAGCAACTTATTGTCCTAATGGCGCACAAACATTAAAACAATATAATATGCATGTCAATGAAATCACAATGCAAGAAGTAACATAAAAACATAGGTCTCAAATTAAAACTAGTAATTAAACAATTGTGTCATCATCCAATACGTGAGAAAAATTAGCCTAGCATACTGTTGGAATTAAACACGTAAGAGTGGAAGGAAATCACCGAAAATTGACGGGACATAATTAATCTTCAAGCTCTTGCACCAAAATAAAAGAAAATACCCAGCTGCCATCTTTGCATGTGCATGAATATATAAACATATATACTTTCCAGCCTCTTTCTTTGACTTTCAATTCCAGCCATATTTCCCTTTCTTTCTCCCTTGTTTTTCAGCCGACAGTTGTGACTTTTTCTCCACCAGGTTCTGCCTCCTATTTTCTCCAATCTGCCGGCACCAATGTATGTTTATAAATAATAGAATACAGCCCCAGCCGGCAGCCCTTTTATTCTTTCCAAAAGTTTGGCAGCCTAATGTTTTTAACTCCAGCCGGCAGTTTTCTCTCCAAAACAAAACAAAGAACAGGGTTTCAATGTTTTCTCCCAAGCTGTCGTTCTCTCCCCCCAATGCATCTCTTTTAGTTGTAACCCAATTGGAAGTCCAATTAAGTATTAAAGTTGAATTCCAAGGCATGTCCAATTGAGGCCCATTAATCAATTATTTCTCTCCAAGTACTCAATCTTCAAAGTGAAGCAAATCAGTCCTTCCATTTTTATAGTTACTTTGATTCCCAAAAATTGCATCCAATGGCCAATTTAATCCGCATACTTTGGATTTTGCTATTTCCGCCCTTTTTGCTTCTTTCCTTCCATTCCTTTTTATTCGTAAGCCGTGAAATTGTCAGGATCTATTAACCTAGCAGCTCTCTTTTTTTTTCTCCTGTATCTCTTCTCTAGGTTTTTTTTCTTTCTTCCCCGCCGTTTCTGTAAGTGCATGTATATATACTTGAAATTAGCCAACTAACTTGACCAAAAAGAAACCTAAATTCATCCCCATGCAGCCCTTTTAGTTGTAACCCAATTGGAAGTCCAATTAAGTATTAAAGTTGAATTCCAAGGCATGTCCAATTGAGGCCCATTAATCAATTATTTCTCTCCAAGTACTCAATTTCTTCGTACACAAAAGGGGGATTGAACTTGATAAAAATAAAGCGAAGGCCATTTTAGAGGCCAAATCACCTAGCAATAAAAAAGAATTGCAAAGGTTTCTAGGCCAAGTAAACTTTTTAAGACGCTTTATTTCTAACTGTGCAGGGCGAACTAAAGATTTTTCGCCGCTTTTAAAGCTGAAAAATCAGGACGAATTCGTCTGAAAAGAAGAGCAACAAAAGGCTTTTGAAAGCCTAAAGACATATTTATCAAGTCTACCAGTGTTGGTGTCACCAATCCAAGGATGGCCAATGAAAGTGTATATATCAGCTGAACAAGAATCAATAGCTGGAATGGTCGCACAAGAAGACCAATTTGGTGAAGTGTTCGTCGAATTCCCGCAAGCGTACGGGTTCGTTGACAAGTAATAATCGTGATGAGAGAGTTATCGTCCCATGAGGAATAATGATTAATTTTAGTATATTTGATATAATTGAATTCGTGTTTGCAACTAAAGGACGACGAAGGAATAGCTAAGGAATTTTTCTATATCTAAAACTTGTGAAAATAATTAAAATTGGTTTAAAAAAAAAAAATTCAAACGTGTGAACGTATTGGATCACCGACGCCACTGATCAATTCTTAGTTCTAATTCTCAACCAGTGATAATTATCTCAAATTATGCAATTATGACGGTCGATAATTCCACCATTATTTATTATTCTTTTTCAAGATATAATAAACCTATGTTTACCACGAGACGATCTTATTCCTAGTCCGAATTCATATGGTGAACATGCATTGACATCTAGGATTATCACATATGATCGCACATGCCACAAACATTATTCCTAATATTTATTGCCCGTGTGTTCCATCAACAGTGTTCTACCTACCGTGAGTTTTCCAACACAACGAATAAGCAACTTATTGTCCTAATGGCGCACAAACATTAAAACAATATAATATGCATGTCAATGAAATCACAATGCAAGAAGTAACATAAAAACATAGGTCTCAAATTAAAACTAGTAATTAAACAATTGTGTCATCATCCAATACGTGAGAAAAATTAGCCTAGCATACTGTTGGAATTAAACACGTAAGAGTGGAAGGAAATCACCGAAAATTGACGGGACATAATTAATCTTCAAGCTCTTGCACCAAAATAAAAGAAAATACCCAGCTGCCATCTTTGCATGTGCATGAATATATAAACATATATACTTTCCAGCCTCTTTCTTTGACTTTCAATTCCAGCCATATTTCCCTTTCTTTCTCCCTTGTTTTTCAGCCGACAGTTGTGACTTTTTCTCCACCAGGTTCTGCCTCCTATTTTCTCCAATCTGCCGGCACCAATGTATGTTTATAAATAATAGAATACAGCCCCAGCCGGCAGCCCTTTTATTCTTTCCAAAAGTTTGGCAGCCTAATGTTTTTAACTCCAGCCGGCAGTTTTCTCTCCAAAACAAAACAAAGAACAGGGTTTCAATGTTTTCTCCCAAGCTGTCGTTCTCTCCCCCCAATTTACTGCTTTCTGTTTGTACATATTAATTCCCCAGTAGACGGCCAACTTGTATATATATTTCAGCAGCAAGCAGCCTTATTAATTCCTCTCAATTTACTGCTTTCTATTTTTATATATTAATTCCCTACTAGCCGCCCAACTTGTATATATATTTCAGCCGCAAATAGCCTTATTAATTCCCCCAAAGCTGCCGTGAAATTGTCAGGATCTATTAACCTAGCAGCTCTCTTTTTTTTTCTCCTGTATCTCTTCTCTAGGTTTTTTTTCTTTCTTCCCCGCCGTTTCTGTAAGTGCATGTATATATACTTGAAATTAGCCAACTAACTTGACCAAAAAGAAACCTAAATTCATCCCCATGCAGCCCTTTTAGTTGTAACCCAATTGGAAGTCCAATTAAGTATTAAAGTTGAATTCCAAGGCATGTCCAATTGAGGCCCATTAATCAATTATTTCTCTCCAAGTACTCAATCTTCAAAGTGAAGCAAATCAGTCCTTCCATTTTTATAGTTACTTTGATTCCCAAAAATTGCATCCAATGGCCAATTTAATCCGCATACTTTGGATTTTGCTATTTCCGCCCTTTTTGCTTCTTTCCTTCCATTCCTTTTTATTCGTAAACTTTCACCTATTAAACGTAAAACATAACAATTTAGAATGTATTTTGTCAAAAGACTATCAAATATCGCTATTTTAGAGTCCCGAATAAGTATATAAAATACACTTATCAAATACCCCCAAACTTAAACATTTGTTTGCCCTCAAACAAAACTATTACATAAATAACAACAAACATACAAAAATATTTGGTTAGACCATTTAGCCCCCCCCCCCCCCCCCCCCTCCCTTTTTTTCTTTTAACAGATTAGATCAGCTGATGAAGGGCAGACAATTTTTTATACATGCCCAGTCTGCGCACACAAGGAAACTTTTTTATTCGTAGAGTTTCACCTATTAAACGTAAAACTTAATAATGTAGAATGTATTATATCAAAAGACTATGAAATATCGCTATTTTAGAGTCTCGAATTAGTGTATAAAATACACTTATCAAATACCCCCAAACTTAAACATTTGTTTGCCCTCAAACAAGACTATTACATAAATAACAACAAACATACAAAAATATTTGGTTAGACCATTTAGCCTTTTTTTTTTACCTCAGGATTTGAAATCACGGCATTAGATCTACAAACTGCTTCAAAGTGACAATACCAAACTAATATCCACTTTTTCAATGCAAAACCGACGTGTGTGTGTGAAGAACTAAGTAGACATTAATGAATTTTCAAGTTGTTCCCATTCCCGACCCTCTATGGTCAAATATATCTTTTCATCTCTCATAAGATTCACACACCCCAAAACTTATTCTTTTTACACTCTTTTCCCAGTGTGTGATCTAAGATTGAATTTTTATCACTATCCTCACCTCCCCAATTCAGGTGGATGTCACTAGTTGTAAGTTAACACATTAATGAATAAGGATTCTCAGATTATTTGATTGCTTCGACTGCCAAGATTCAATTAGGTTAATTATCCTTTATTGAAAGCCAAGTTCTCTCAAACAAGTGTTGGGACTTACAAGGCATTTAGTGCTTTTTTTTGGCACTCTTCCTTAAGCTTTCTAGATGACTCATGTAGCAGGCTTTAGGCTGATGACTCCCAAATCAGATGACTTTAGGGCACCAAGTTTTCAAATACCCTTACAGGCTTAATTACCCGAGTCAAAAAGGCTTCGAAGAGAGCTTTTTTTTGAGCAATTTTATCTCTGATTGCCTTTTAAATGACCCCTGTAACGAGCTTTAGGCCGATGAATCCCAAGTGAGATGACTTTAGGGCACCAGGTTTTAAGATACCCTTGCAGGCTTAATTGCTCGAGTCATAAAAGTGCATTTTAAATTTCAAAATATATGCCTTGATTAGTGCAATGCCCCTTATCACACACCTATTCAAGAAAATCGACCTCCAATTTAAGACTTTTACCCAATTTTATCCTATTAATCTCAGACAATCCACACAAAATTTTCACACAAGGAATCCATATTCATATCCGCATTTTCCTACAACAGTAAGATCTTTCCAAATTGTACTAAATTTGGTCTAAGAATAATTGGTTAGTATGGTTTTGGTAAAGCATCTATGTCCAACTTATTCAATCTATCAAGTACATGAATCAACTTACTTCATCATAATGTCAAACTCAGTTCTAGTGCATGTATAATATCAAGTTTTGCAAGTTCAAGTTTCAATCAATCTAGCATGCTTCCTATCTACAGTTCATAAATCAACGCCAAATCTCAAATTTAATCATCATTGTCAGCCAAACCGTCTAACCCACACAAGTACACAATCAAAAATAAGTAAAAATAAATGAAAATTTAACGTTTTTTTATTGGTAACATATGTAAACAGCGCACGAAGTCATACGAAAACCAAAAACACAAAGTGTTTTCCACCCCCAAACTTAAGTTCGACATTGTCGTCAATGTCTTAAAACATGATTAAGAATATAAGGGGATGTGGAAGAAAAGGACGAAGGTACTCCCTGAATTTTTCTATTGAACGTGGAAGATACTGTAGCTGACGGCCAGATAATCTTTCTTATCATGCTTTCCCCTTGGTCGATATTGGTTTGAGTATTCCATGACGTCATGTTCCTGCATATGGCAATCAAATCAAACAACAGGGATCAAATAATCCAAAACGTGTGTTACTCAGCCTAAACACTCGAAATAACCAACATTATATTTAAGGGCCTCGGTGAAAGCATGATTGGATGATGACACCACATAAATTAAATGTGCCTAAATCTAATGCAACTAATAATTAAAAGAAATCTATATGCAATGCGATGCGAAAAACAAAATAAAATAAAAGGTTTAAAATTTGGGTTGCCTCCCAATAAGCGCTTAATTTATAGTCTTTAGCTAGACTTTGTTGTCCTGGTTACTCTACATTATCAAGTGGTACGGTTGTTTTTTCAGTGGAGTAGTCACCTCCCCAATAAGATTTTAACCGTTATCCATTTACTTTGAACCTCCTTTGTTGATCTTGAGACACCACTTCAACAGCACCATATGGAAACACAGCAACTACTGTGAATGGACCGGACCACCTGGACTTTAGCTTTCCCGTAAAAAGCTTGAGGCGTGAATTGAACATCAATACTTGTTGACCAACCTCAAACTCCTTCTCCCTTATATGCCTGTCGTGCCATTTCTTGGTCTTTTCCTTGTAAATCTTTGCATTCTCATATGAATCCAAACAAAACTCATCTAGCTCATGAAGTTGTAGAACCCTCTTTTCTCCTGTTGCTCTCATATTGAAATTGAGCAAGTGTGTTGTCCAGTATGCTTTATGCTCTAACTCAACCGGCAGATGACAAGCTTTTCCAAATACCAGTCGATATGGAGACATGCCAATTGGAGTCTTAAATGCTGTTCTATACGCCCAAAGTGCATCGTCTAGTTTCTTAGCCCAATCTTTACGTGATGCATTGACCGTAGCTTCGAGAATCTACTTTAACTCCCTGTTAGAGATCTCCACCTACCCGCTAGTCTGAGGGTGGTATGGAGTCGAGACATGATGTTTCACTCCATATTTGGCCAATAGCGAAGCAAATAAGCGGTTGCAAAAATGTTTTCCACCGTCACTAATAATTGCCCTCGGGGTGCCATACCTCGTGAAAATATTTTTCTTCAGAAATTGAATCACTACTCGGCCGTCATTAGTTGGCAAAGCCACAGCTTCAACCCATTTGGACACGTAGTCCACTGCCACCAGTATATATTGTTGACCATAGGATGGAGGAAATGGTCCCATGAAGTCGATGCCCTAAACATCGAATATTTCAACCTCTAAAATACTGTTCAAAGGCATCTCGTTCCTCCTAGAGATATTTCCAGTCCTTCGGCACTTATCACAATGTTTCACCATTTAATGGGCGTCCTTGAACAACGTAGGCCAATAAAAACCCGATGGCCTTCTCCCTTGCTGTTGTTGCTGTTGGAACCCTGGTGGTTTATTCTGATTGCTTCCTCCCTGTTCTTGTCCTTGATTATTGGACCATGAAAAATTTGGATGGTTCTTCCAACCCGGATTAAATGTGTTGGAGAAAGGATTATTTTGCTGTCTCTGAAAGTTCTGTGCGTAGCTTACTTCTTCGGATTGACTAACATGTGTAGACGCCAAAGGGCAGTGTGTACTAGCATGATCCGCTCCACAGCCTTCGCAAACAGGTGGCGATTGGTGTACCATGTTGACTGACTTAGATAGATTGTCCATTTTCATGGTAAGAACTTCCATTTGCGCGGCCAATGCTGTCACTGCATCTACGTTGTGTAACCCTGATGTTTTCCTTGGAGCTTTCCTATCAGTTGGCCACATCGATTGGTTTTCAGCTATTTTTTCATACAGGTCATATGCCTCATCCACATCAAGTTTCATCACTGATCCTCCTGCAGAAGCATCTATCATATTTCTAAACTCTTGTTTTAGACCGTAGTAGAAAAGATATTGCTGAGCCTGCTTGGGAATGTCGATGTTGTGGCATTTTCTAAAAAAATTCTTGAACCTCTCCCATGCCTCAGGATAGCTCTCGAGATCTTTTTGCTTAAAGGTGTGGACGTCATTCCTAATTTGGTGAACTCGAGAAGGTGGAAAGAATTTCATCATAAATTTTTGAACCATATCATTCCATGATTGATTGCTTCCTGGTGGTAAACAAAGAAACCATTCTCTAGCAGTGTCCTTCAAGGTATGAGGGAATAATCTCATTCGGAATGCATCTGCTGATATCCCTTCGTGACTGATCACTTCACATAACATGAGAAAAGTAGAAATATGCTCATGAGGATTTTCCGTGGCTTTTCCAAAGAACTTGATGTCTTGGTGATTTTGAATCAAATTGATGACATCTGGTCGAAGGTAAAAATTAGGTTGTCCAAAAGGGGGGTTATATCACAGCAGGTTGCACTGGTGTGGGAATTGGATTGATGTAATCCCCAACTAAGACATGAGCTTCGTTCTGGTTAGCTCTCGGTTGATTTGGCTGTGGTATTTGCTTGTGAAGCTGAACTTGATGCTGTAGTTGATTTTGGTTGTCAGCCATTCTCCTTGATTGACGTTGAACTCTTTTGCGATTTCTAAATGTTCTTTCAATTTTGTGGTCTATTGGAAAGAGATCTGGCTCGTCAGGATTTTGCATAAACTAAAGTTGCCTAAAAAGTGTAATGGTAGCCTAAAAACAACTAAAAATTAAATGAAAATAAAAACAATAAAAGTAAAAATTTACCACGAGACGATCTTATTCCTAGTCCGAATTCATATGGTGAACATGCATTGACATCTAGGATTATCACATATGATCGAACATGCCACAAATATTATTCCTAATATTTATTGCCTGTGTGTTCTATCAACAATGTTCTACCTACCGTGAGTTTTCCAACACAACGAATAAGCAACTTATTGTCTTAATGGCACGCAAACATTAAAACAATATAAAGATGCATGTCAATGAAATCACAATGCAAGAAGTAACATAAAAACATAGGTCTCGAATTAAAACTAGTAATTAAACAATTGTGTCATCATCCAATACGTGAGAAAAATTAGCCTAGCATACTGTTGGAATTAAACACATAAGAGTGGAAGGAAATCACCGAAAATCGACGGAACATAATTAATCTTCAAGCTCTTGCACCAAAATAAAGGAAAATACCCAGCTGCCACCTTTGCATGTGCATGAATATATAAACATATATACTTTCCAGCCTCTTTCTTTGACTTTCAATTCCAGCCAGATTTCCCTTTCTTTCTCCCTTGTTTTTCAGCCGACAGTTGTGACTTTTTCTCCACCAGGTTCTGCCTCCTATTTTCTCCAATCTGCCGGCACCAATGTATGTTTATAAATAATAGAATACAGCCCCAGCCGGCAGCCCTTTTATTCTTTCCAACAGTTTGGCAGCCTAATGTTTTTAACTCCAGCCGGCAGTTTTCTCTCCAAAACAAAACAAAGAACAGGGTTTCAATGTTTTCTCCCAAGCTGCCGTTCTCTCTCCCCAATTTACTGCTTTCTGTTTGTGTATATTAATTCCCCAGTAGCTGGCCAACTTGTATATATATTTCAGTCGCAAGCAGCCTTATTAATTCCTCCCAATTTACTGCTTTCTGTTTGTATATATTAATTTCCCAGTAGCCGGCCAACTTGTATATATATTTCAGCCGCAAGTAGCCTTATTAATTCCCCCAAAGCTGCCGTGAAATTGTCAGGATCTATTAACCTAGCAGCTCTCTTTTTTTTTTCTCCTGTATCTCTTCTCTAGGTTTTTTTTCTTTCTTCCCTGCCGTTTCTGTGAGTGCATGTATATATACTTGAAATTAGCCAACTAACTTGACCAAAAAGAAACCCAAATTCATCCCCATGCAGCCCTTTTAGTTGTAACCCAATTGGAAGTCCAATTAAGTATTAAAGTTGAATTCCAAGGCATGTCCAATTGAGGCCCATTAATCAATTATTTCTCTCCAAGTACTCAATCTTCAAAGTGAAGCAAATCAGTCCTTCCATTTTTATAGTTACTTTGATTCCCAAAAATTGCATCCAATGGCCAATTTAATCCGTATACTTTGGATTTTGCTATTTCCGCCCTTTTTGCTTCTTTCCTTCCATTCCTTTTTATTCGTAGACTTTCACCTATTAAACATAAAACACAACAATTTAGAATGTATTTTGTCAAAAGACTATCAAATATCGCTATTTTAGAGTCCTGAATAAGTATATAAAATACACTTATCATGAAGAAAGGGCGATTTACTACTTGAGTAGATGGTTAACAAAATGTGAATGTAATTACTCTGCCATTGAAAAATTATGTCTTGCATTATATTTCACATGTACGAAATTAAGGGCTTATTTACGGCCCGTAACCCTTTATTTGATTTCTAGAGTAAATTTGGTTAAGTATATGTTCTCTCGCCCTATTTTACACCAAAGCGTAAGCCTTTGGACTTTAACGTTATCAGAATTCGAAACACAATACATACCCCAAAAGGCAATAAAAAATCAGGCTTTGGCTAACTTTTTGGCCGATCATCCATGCTTTGACATGCCTGAAGAAATTGAATTAGAAATTGATTTATTCGAATTAAAACCTTGGGTTTTATATTTCGATGGGTCAAAAACCTCTAAAGGTGCAGGAGTAGGAGTAACATTGATAAATCCTTTAGGGATTTGTTACAAGTTCTCATTCACTTTGGATAGGATGTGTACCGATAATCAAGCCGAATATGAAGCCTTAATCGTGGGTTTAGAATTAATGATAGCTATGCAGATAAAGAATGTGATTGTTAGAGGCGATTCTCACTTGGTAATTCACCAATTGATCGATGATTTTAAGTGCCAAAGTGATTCCATTATAAGTCAATATGAAATCGCCCAAGAATTGTTGGAAGAATTAGACCAAGTAGAGCTTCAATGTGTTAATAGGGTATATAATGACATAGCAAATGAGTTGGCCCAGATGGTCTCAGGGTATTCAAAGATTTTAAATTGGAAATCTACTTGTGAATATAGAGTAATATTGCCCGTAGTCCAAAGAAGGTCGAGAATGACTGAAATTCATTGCATACAAGATGGAGATGCAATATATTAGAGGGTAGAGATTAAAAGGTTCCTTAAAGAACCTAATAAAGGAGGTAGTAGAAAAATGAAGTTGCATTTGCTAAACTATACATTGATAGATGAAGAGTTGTTTAAGAAACGCTTTAATGGTATATTACTAAAATGTGTAAGTTTGCAAGAAGTCAGAACAATCATGGTTGAAGAGCATGAAGGGATATGTGGAGCTCATCAAGCTGGCCAAAAGATGAGATGGTTAATTATTAGGAATTGATATTTTTTGCCCAAGATGGGAGAATCATGTGTTCAATATGCGAAGAGTTGTCTAGCGTGCCAAAAGTATGGTCCAATACAAAGGGCGCCAGCAAGAGAGATGACACCCATTATCAAACCCTGGCCGTTCAAGGGTTGGGCGATAGACCTGATAGGGAAGATTTATCCCCCATCGTCCAAGCAACATAGATTTGTTATAGTTACAACTAATTTTTTCACTAAGTGGGTAGAAGCGATACCTTTAAAGGAAATCATCCAAAAGAGTATCATAGAATTTATTCGTGATCATATTATTTATAGATTTGGGGTTCCACAAACTTTGATGGTAGATCACGAAACTTTTTTGAATGGAGATCAAGTGAAGAAATTCTTGAGCGAGTTTGGAGTTAAGTTAGTGAACTCCACGCCATATTACGCTCAATCCAACGGATTGGCAGAATCTTCTAATAAGATTCTAAAAAATATCATAAGGAAAATGATAGATGAAAATACTAGAAACTGGCACGAATGTCTAAACTAGGCCTTATGGGCTTAAAGGACGTCGCCTCGGTCAAGTACCAAAGTTACTCCTTTTCAACATACTTATGGACAGGAGGCCGTTTTGCCTATGAAAATCAATGTGCAATCAATCAGAGTGTGTTTGCAATATAAGTTAAGTGATGGTGAGTATACTGAATCACTAGTTCAAAACTTATTAGAGTTGGACGAATTAAAGTTGGACGTCCTAGATAGATTGCAATTCAAAAACAAAGGATGACTAAGTTTTATAATAAAAAAGTTATAGCCAAGTGATTTAGTCTGAGCGAATTGGTTTGAAAAACAATACTCCCTTTGGATAGCAAGGATCCAAAGTATGAGAAGTGGTCACCCAATTGGGAAAGGGCCATATAAAGTAAATAGTGTGTTGCCTGATGAAGCCTATCATTTAGAA